CTTATTTATTCTTGTATATTAATTCTTATGCATATAGTAGATATCTATTTTTGTGAGCATTTTTTTAACGATCAAACTCGGGTCTCAAAATAAATATGTTTGTATCATTTATTTTGATAATGACACTATTTATTTTTATTAAATTATATAGTTAAATTTTAAATGTATGAATGTTTCAACTATAAAGCTTATTATGAATACATGTTTTATTTTGATACAAATATTTATAATTGTTGATTTTATACTATAATATTAATAAACTTCGTTTCTTTTCAATGTATGTGGTTCAATAATTCTTGAAATTTGTTTATCTTTTATTTTCTATTATGCGAGCGTTGTTACATTAAGATAACAAATAATGATAACTTGAATGTAGAAACATCACAGATTTATATTTGTCAGTATAAATGTTGTCGTGCTTATTCAAACATTGAGAGTTCTTATGCTTATTTAAGAATAAGTGTCTTAATTTGTTTATTAGGACGCTTGGTTATACTGTTATAATAATCGATGTGATCTTTTATAAATTCAATTGTTATTCTTTGAATTTCATTTTGTCGCAAAATCTAAGAAAAAATTGACTATCAATAAATTTCAGACTTTTTGGTGCAGAAGATGTAGATTTGCGTACATTAACAACACCCACTATTGTACCTTCTCCGCCATATATAACGGAAACAATCAAACAAGAATCGGGAAAATCGTGGGCGAAATATAAAGAAATTAAACCAGATACTTTTAAAACACCATATAAATCACCAACAAAAAAAATGCCTGGTGTAGTCAGTGAACATTTAATAGAAACTCAAGATGTTTTAGATGTAGATATGAGGTCTAAAACGGTACAAAGTAACAGTAGTCTTATCCTCAAACAAGCTGAAGAAGCATTAAATGCTGGAAATATATCTTTTGATGAATATAATAAAATTATGTGTCAGGTATGTACAATTATCACATTACTATGTTTTTGTATGAAATTTATATAAAAAAAAAAAACTATTTGATATTTAATTGCAATAATCGGAGATTATTAATTTTAATTTTTAAAGGTGCTTAAAATGACAGAGGTTGAAAAGTTAGAGGAAGCTAAGAAAAATGATGATAAGAATTTGAAATTGAAAAAATATGTTATACCTAAAATCTCTCAATCATGCGGTGAAAATGGATTAAGTATACAAACTAAATTAGAAGCTGGTAATGACACAATTCCAGTTTCTAATTTAGATTTGCAAAGTAAGGCCAGTGTTCAACCTCCAACTAGTGATGAACTAATAAGTTGTAATCAAGTTACAGAAGATCAATCTAAAAGTATAGAAAATAATAAAATATCTTATTTAGGAAATGAAAAAGATAATAAACCGATGGATATAGATGAAAGAGTAAATTTAAAACCATTAGTAGGTGAAATTTTTCCTAGTACAGGACCATGGAATATTCTTAATAAAAAACATAGTGATGGCAGTGTTAGTGGAAGTGAAAGTGATAGTTCTTCTAAAAGTACTTCTTCTGAATCTGAAGAATCAAAAAAAAATCCTAGAAAATTGGACTCTGACGATCGGTCAACATTTAAGAAGCGAAAAAACTTTAGACGAAATGAGAAAGATATCACCAAGGGAAGTCGTAATTGGAAGAATAACAAAAATTGGAATACAAGACCAGATAATGGACTTAGATTTACCCAGAATAGAGTAGAACCTTGGTCAAGAGGACCCCGGCCTAATTATTCACATTCTTCTAGGTCTCTAGTGCCACCTCCAATGTATGAGGTACCAAGACCTACTGCTCCATTTGCTTCATCAACACCTGATTGGACTGTACCTGTTATTCCCCCTTCAGATCCTGTAATATTAGATATGATAGCAAACGACCCTACCCAAACAATTAACATTGATGGAGTTTCTAGAGAAATACGATTTTATGGTCCCACTGCAATTACTTTTGTTTCATGGGATGATCCTAGAGAAATATATTTTCAAGGACCACCAAGAAATGTAATATTTGATGACCTTTTTTCAGTTCTTTGTCATTTTAATGCTCCTGATCGAGAATTTCTATTAGATGGCCAACCTCATAGAGTACGTTTGGGGGCTCCTACCAGAGAAATTTACTTGGATGGTAATTTCTATGAATGCTTTTTTGGTGGTCCTCCAATATACACTGAACTCGGAGCAGTTAAAAGATCTATTAAATTGGAAGGGCCTCCTCCTTCTGTTAATATTGGTACTACAAAACGTGTAGATTTAGTTGCTGGACGAATTGCTATTATAATTGATAACAACTTTACAGTACCAGTTTACTTAGATGCTAAACCACAAAGAATTGATGTAGGAAACACAGCACTTATTCTTCGATTTATTGATGGCCTAATGAGAGCATTGATTAATGATCAGCCATTTAAAGTTAATTATAATGGACCTCCGCAGGCAATAATTGTTAGGGGGAAAAAACATTATTTGAGATTTACAGGATTGCCATCAAATATTAGACCTGGTTATGCTGCAATTTCTCAAATGATGGGTGTTGTACTAACTGAAGATACTGCTGCTGAAACCTTACCACCACTACCAGCTCCACCTATACCATCTAAATTTACTGGTTTTGATATGCCATTAACATCGGTGGAAGATATAAGCCAACCTCCACAATCATTTACTTCTTCAACATATTCTTTGATTCCACGTAAGATAATTAATGGCATTTAATTAAGATACATATTATATATATAATAATTCAATGTTTTATAATTATTTATTTATAGCTTCTTCATTACCAGCTGTTAACTTGGTACCTAGTGTATTACCACAATTGGAAGTAGTTTCTAGTTCTTTTGCCACACCTGCTGTTCCCACTGCACCTGTATTACCTAGCAATATGGATATAAATGAATTATTTAAAAAACTTGTAGATAGTGGAATTGTTCCCAAAGATAAACCACAAGAAATAATTCAATCAAAAATTGTTAGAAAAGAGAAAAACGAAGAAAATTTGGCTGTGAAACCTGTAGACTTTTCTGATCCTTCAACTTTAAAACAGTTAGTATATGATTATAAATTATTCTTAAGTGTTTTAAATTGTCTTTTTTTTCATTATAGGAAACAACCAGGATTAATACATAATTTGTACACTGGTATTCAATGTAGTTCTTGTGGTATTCGTTTCACTGCTGAATATACTGTCAAATATAGTAGTCATTTAGATTGGCATTTTAGACAAAATCGGCGTGAAAAAATGGCTAGTAAAACGGTACAGTCAAGGAAGTGGTATTATGATACTAGCGATTGGTGTAAATATGAAGAACAAGAGGATGAGTCAACTAGAGGTAATTTTTTTTATATAATATTTATTTTAAATATTTTTACTAATTTGTAAATAATTACAGCTGCTAGTTGGTTTGAATTACAAAGTGAGGAGGGGGTTAAAGAAGAAGAGCAACAAGAAGAAGAAAATGTACCATGTTTTCCAGCTGGAGAAAATAGTGAACTTGCAGCCTGTTATTTGTGTCATGATCAGTTTGAGCAATTTTACAGTGAAAAAGATGAAGAGTGGCAACTTAGAAATTGTATTGAAAAGGATAAACGTCTTTATCATCCTATGTGTTATGATGATATGATTGTAAGTTAACTACTTAAATTTTCAACTATAATGCAAGTTTTAATATTTACATTTTTAGAAAACAAGAGAAGAGAAAATTCGTAAACGAAATGAAGCCATTGAAGAAGCTAAGCAATTAGAAATTAAAAAAATTGAACTTCAAAAAGAACAGCAACTAGAAGGAGAAATTCTGAAAAAGATAAAAGAAGAAACTTTGAAGAATATAAAAGAAGAAGAAATAAAAGTTAAATCTGAACAAAATATAAAAGAAGAAATTTTAGAAAATATTAAAAAAGATGAAATATCTATAAAAGTAAACAGTGAAATTTTGCATTCTGATGAAAACAATGCAGATATTAAAATAAATAAAAATGTCTTTGACGATGTAGAAATTCCAGAAACTATGGAGATAATTCATTCAGCTACTGAAGTATTATCACCAAAAGTTAAAGATGAGCCTATTGAAAATAATAATACTCCACTTCTTACTGAATCAGAAGTATTTACTGAAGAACCAATAAAATCTAAATCTCCATCTCCTGTTTCAACTATGACATGTTCAATTGATGGAAATACAGATACTGAATGGAATGTACCTGTTGCACCTGCAATGGGTACCATTAAAATAAACATAAATCAAAAAGCTACAGCTATTATTAAACCATTAAAACCAACTGTAGAAGTATTATCTACTATTGTAGAACCAAAGTCTCCTCAAGATTTTACTCCGACATTTGGTGAAATTGATCCAGACCAACCTCCACCACCTGGACTTGAAATGGAAACAGTTGTTATACCTTTAAAACCCAAGCGAGAACTAAAACCTAGATTACTGAATAATGTTAAGAAACTCAAAGAATATCCAGCTGTCAATAAAGGTAAGGAAATGTCGGGCCTGTGTTCTATTATGTGATTATCCTCCTTATTCTTGTGTTGATCGTCTTCTAATATATATATATTTATGTATATAAATACATTTTAGAATTTTGTAAATTTATAATTTAAAATGAAAATGTGATATATACATATAAGATAAGAAAATATTTATGTAAATATTGTAGTATACATAATAGCTTTAGTTCACCCTGTTGTTTTTTTTTACCAAAAATAAATTATAAATTTTTATATTCATGTATTACGTTTTGTCCATCAAAATAATTTCCTTGTACATACATAAAATCATAGTTAGATTTCTTTTTTAATCAAACGATCAAATGTTTCACTTTACAGGGTATATTTAACAGCATCATCTTAGTATCGTTAGCATTGAAAATATTTATAGTAATGTGTAATATTATGTACAATAAAAATTAACAATTCTTAGATCAATATTGAAGTCATGAACTAATTAAATAAATTAAGTTACATTTTAAGAGCTTATTAAATTTTTAGTTATTTAATTGGATAAAAAAAATTAATCAAGTATTATGATTAGTTATAATAAAAATCATTTTACCGCTCAAAAGTGTTTTTTTTTCATTTTATGTGTATCATCTTTTTTAATATCAAGTATTGTTGTGAGTTTATAAACCCACTAACTGGCAATACAGAAATTATACCCATTGCTAGTGATAATTGACAATAAACACTCCGTGACTGTAACAGCGATGTCATAAAAAACTAAAAAGTGAAAAATAGATATAGTTAAAAAAAACTGAAAAACAGTCTTTTAAAGCATATCGAACTAAAAAGTTAAAAATAATTTTAAAAATATGCTTAAAACAATAATGAACAAAAAATACAAGTATTATTGTGAAAAAAAGCATGGGGGCTCTGTGCCATAATTTTCGTATATTGAGCGCCCGACGCTTTTTTTCACAATAATACTAGTATTTTTCGTTCATTATTGTATTAAGCTTATTTTTAACTTTTTAGTTCGATATGATTTAAAAGCGTGTGTTTTTTAGTTTTTTTTACTATATCTATTTTTCACTTTTTAGTTTTTTTAAAAAGTGTTTTTTTCATTTTATGTGTATAATCTTTTTTAATTATCAAGTATACCTGAGTTATGACTACTAAAGGTTTGTATGATAAAAAATTATTTCAAGGAAAATGTCTTATTAAATCTTTAGGGAATCAATATTTGTAATAGCTATTTAAAGTAATTATATACATTATTACATTATCAATATTGAAAAAATAAAAATAGCAAGTTTGTCATATAATAATTCTTAATTTCATTACTGTAATTTTATAACTTGGAACTTTATTGATAAATTAACTATACAAATTTGGAGTTGTATTGGAATTAATCTAATTAAATTTTACAGTTATGTGGGTAGCGAGAAATGCAATGGTGTTTTTAATATTTTGAATATTTAACAACATTTGAAGAAAACGTTCAAAACCTATACCAAATCCAGCAGTTGATACATTACCAAACTTTCTTAGTTCTAAATACCAGTCTAATTTTTTCTGAAGTCCAATATTTGATAACTTTTTTTCTAATACATTATAATTATTTTCGCGTACACTCCCACCACATAACTCATCAACATTTGGACATAAAAGATCTACAGTTGATATCTATACATTAAAACTAGTAAAATCTCTTTTTGTATAAATTTAAAAGAAAAAGACTTACTATTGAATCATTATTAGGTTATGCTTTTGTATAAAATGGCTTTAACATTTGTGACCAGTCAATTACAAAAATTGTTTTTTGGCCATTATATTAAACTAAAAATAATTCATGTTCTTTAGTTAATGGTGTGCCTCTTATAACAGTTTTAGTGAAGTTTTTTTGCTTTTAAAGAACATTACATGCTCTTTCATAACTATTAACTTCATGTGGGGTTTTATTAGATTGTTTATATCATATTCATTTGAATTACTATTAATTTTTTTAATAATATTTATTTCTTCACTACATTTATCTAATAATTATTTTATTACAGCTGAAGTGGTCTTTTCTATAACATTTAAATGTTCTTCTATGTTGTTAATATAAGCTTGTTCAGCTTCAATTATATAAAATTCAGATAGATGTAATCTAGACTTAGGGTTTTCTGCCCTGAAAGTTGGTCCTATGGTGAAAACTTTAGTTAGGGATCAAGCTATACATTCTAAATGTAGTTGCCCAGAGATAGTTAAATAAGTCTGGTTATTAAAAAATACTTCAAATAGACATTGATGTTTATGTGAAGCCATACTTTTAATTAAATTTTCATTTTCTGGTTTAACAATAAACAATTAGCCAGCTCCTTCACAATCATTAGATGACAGCATAGGTACATCAACTTCTATAAAATCAACCTCGAAAAATCTATATCGAGTTGCTAAGACTAATTGGTTTTGTAAACGTAATAAACTACTGAAAGAAGCTGTTGGCGGTCTCACATGTAAATATTGACGTACATAATCAGACTGACAAGTTTTTCAGGGAGCAAATAGATAGCCTTCCTAAATAGGACATTGGCCATGAACAGTAATAAAATCAGCAGATATTCCAAGCTGATTATTGGTATTATTGACTAATGTACCATGAGCTTCAAATGAAGATCTATATGAAAGTGTATCTGGAATTTTATTCTTAGGTATTACTATTTGTAATCGTTGATATGTAGATTCATCATCTATGTCTACAAAAATGTTGTCTTTCATTTTACGCATAGCTCGAGCCCATTCCTATAACAAAATACTCATTAGATAGAAAAGAATATAGTAGAAATAAAAAGCGACTTTTAAAAATTACTAATACAGGTATTTTTTATATATTAAAATAAATCAATACATTTTTTTATTGAAATAAACTTGTATGCTAAAAAAAAATATATAACAATGACGGCTAATTTTTAAAATCCTAAATTCCTACTGGCTAGTAGTGTTAAATGGTTTTGCATTTTTGGTGAATTATTTATATTTATTGTAACCCTTATGAGTTTGATTTAATTGCATATTAAGGCATATCAAAGGTTCCACTGTTGAATTTAATGTGAAAGCAACTATTTAAGCTTAGTTCTAATCAATGAGATCAATGAATTCAAATAATTATATATTATTAGTAGACTCAATAGCCAAAACATATAGATAATGAGCTATAAGAAAATTAACACGAGGAAATTAATAAGATTAATTATTACCTTCATTAAAATTTTACAAACAACCCGTTGAGTTTTTATATCTTTTACTGAAATAATAGAATAGAATCTATTGGGAATTTCTTTTAATACGTTGAACATGTTAGTATAGTGATTGGAAAAGCGAATACGTTAAATGAAAATTTTATACTCTAGGAAATTTTTTGAAAATAATAATGAACAAATAGGACTTCATCTTCGATTAATAAAAAAAAGTCTCTTTATTGTATCATAAATCAATATTTTGATTTATACAAACTGTAATAATAAATAGAATTAAAATTTTTATCGACTGTCAAATATTTTATTTAAACATAACCTTAAATTTACGATATCTCAATTGGATAAGGTCCTCAGTAATTTATAATTTACTCTGAGACATCGTAAATTTAAAAATAAGCAAAGATTTCAGCGCGTCCAAAATATAATTAAATGTTTTCTTAAATCATTTAGAATTTTGATTTAATTTGTTTGTCATTTTTTAACTATCAGGGTTTAAATAACCAACATTTTGTGGTAGTATTAAACGTGGTAACAGCAAAATTTAATGAAACATAACATAAATAAATATTTGAAGAATTGATAACATTGATTAGTAATAATTGTATCTCAAATCTGTGAGATACAATTATAATTGTTACATAATTGTAGGGAGGCTACAATTACCGGATGATTGTAAAGTTTTGTAGTTGTAAAAAATACTGATAAATTAATAAATAATTTCATTAATATTTAATGATGTGTTTTTTTAAATATATGTTTTTATTTTCATTTTTTATAAATTATAGTTTTAAATGAAATATAGTACGATTTTTATTTCTTAATAAAACAGCTAAGATATGGCTACTGATAAAGTTACTTTAACTGATGCTTTATCCAACGTGGATGTACTAGATGAACTGACATTGCCAGATGAACAACCATGTATTGAAGCCCAGCCATGTTCAATTTTATATCAAGCTGATTTTGATACTAACTTTGAAGACCGCAACGGTTTTGTAACTGGTATTGCCAAGTACATAGAAGAAGCTACTGTGCACGCTAGTCTTGTAAGAATTGAATTATTTTATTTTATTCCAATAATTTAAATTATTTGTGGTGTTAATTTAAATGATAAAATGGATTATTTAATTTTTTTTGAGTTTTAAAAATTGCAATTGTCATAAATTAATAAAAGAAAAATTTGGGTTTGAATACTTATACTTAAAATTGATAATTAATTATATTTTTTAAATAAAACATTAATTTTTATTAAATTTTGAAATTTCTTATTTTTGATCTATGATTAATAATTTATTTAATGTAATATTTTACTTTATTTCTTTTTAAGAATGAGTTATTAGATGAAGGCCAAGTACATGCTGTTATGCTATATACATGGCGGTGCTGCTCTCGAGCTATTCCACAACCAAAATCTAATGAACAACCTAATCGTGTTGAAATTTATGAAAAAACTGTTGAAGTTTTAGGTCCTGAAGTCAATAAGCTTCTTCAGTTTATGTATTTTCAGGTAAGAAAAATTTATTTTAGATAGATCAAAGGATTAATTAGAATAGTATGTTTGTATTACGGTATTTTAATTTTAGTTTTTTTCTATATTTATTTTGTATATTTTGTTTAACAATATTCTTAATATTCATCTTTTTTGATACATTGAAACGTGATTGAACACAAGTTTGGCATACAACTTGTTTTAATTTTTTAATTGTTTATAATTGAAAAATAGATCTTAGTTAATTGGTTCTTTGACTAATCCAATTATTCATAAACTCATCCATTTAATTAAATGTTTGCTTGTTATTATTTAAGGTAAAAAAAACTATAATCAAAACAGTTTCACGAAAAAATAATTATTCAAATACAAATTAGTTTTACCACTTTAAATAATGAATCCTGAAGGTATATAATGATTAATTTATATTACATTTTAACTATTTTCTTTTTAGCGTAAAGCAATAGAACGATTTTGTGGAGAAGTTAAACGGTTATGCCATGCTGAAAAACGGAAAGATTTTGTATCAGAAGCATATCTTTTAACTCTGGGAAAGTTTATTAATATGTTTGCTGTACTTGATGAACTAAAAAATATGAAATCTAGTGTTAAAAATGACTATTCCAGTTATCGCCGTGCAGCTCAATTTCTCAAAGTGATGGCTGATTCCCATACACTTCAAGAATCCCAAAATCTATCAATGTTTTTAGCTACCCAAAATAAAATTCGTGACACTGTAAAAGAAAATTTAGAAAAAATTCCAGCTTATGAAGAGCTGTTATCGGATGTTGTTAATTTATGTGTACAAATGTTTGAATCAAAAATGTATCTTACACCATCTGAAAAACATATGTTGGTCAAAGTAAATATTCATTTGAATTTTGTTTAATTCATTACAACTATATAATTAACATGGATCTATAATAATTTTAGGTTATGGGTTTTGGATTATTCCTTATGGATAATGAACTATGCAATATTAATAAGTTGGATCAGAAAAAAAAACTAAACTTGGGAAAAATTGATCGGATTTTTAAAGTTAAAAAATTAATTTTGTTATTTAGTCTTTAGTTAATTGTTTAAAATCAATACAGTTTCTTTTGTAATATTAAAAATTGTATTATAGTTTTATAAAATTTTAAATGATCATATGAATATTAATAAAAAATTATTTTGTTTTAGAACCTTGAAGTTGTGCCTTTATTTGGAGACATGCAAATAGCACCTTTTAATTACATTAAACGTTCAAAACATTTTGAACCCGGAAGATGGCCATTGTCAAGTTCTCCTCAAATAAGTCCACAAGCTGATCTCATGGTACATTTACCTCAAATTAGAGAAGACCATGTGAAATATATTAGTGAGTTAGCACGTTATAGCAATGAAGTAACTACTACATATAAAGAAACAAGAACAGATATTGAAAATAAAGACACTGCCGAGTTAGCATTGAGAGGTTTACAACTTTTATCTGAATGGACAAGTGTTGTAACTGAGCTTTATTCATGGAAATTATTACATCCTACTGATCATCATCAAAATAAAGAATGTCCTATAGAAGCTGAAGAATATGAAAGAGCAACTCGTTATAATTATACTGATGAAGAAAAATTTGCTCTTATCGAAGTCATTGCAATGATAAAAGGATTGCAAGTTCTTATGGCTCGAATGGAAACAGTTTTTACTGACACAATTCGACGTAATATTTATGCTGAGTTACAAGATTTTGTACAATTAATTCTAAGAGAACCTTTAAGAAAAGCAATTAAAAACAAAAGAGATTTGATAAGAAGTATATTAGTATCTGTTCGAGAAACTTGTGCTGATTGGCAAAGAGGTGTTGAACCTTCAGCAGATCCAGCTTTGAAAGGAAAAAAAGATCCAGATGTTGGTTTTGGGATCAAAGTACCCAGGAGAAATGTTGGTAAGTACTTTAAGAATGTAAATATTTCAATTTTATTTTTAAAAAAATGAATAAGTTATAGATTATGTTGAATAAAAATAAAATTTTTTTACAAATCTGCTTGTAACAAAATTTAAACATATGTTAAAATTATATAAGAAATTATAACACATTTACATAAAATTTAGATGATGAAATTTTAGCTTCGATGCAAAGTTGAGAAGGTATTAATTTTACTGATATGTTTTTTTTTTCTGTTATCACTTTCTCTCAGCTCTCACTGAAAAGATTTCTTTCAACAATACGTCAAAAGATCATAAATTGTATCTAGTCGAAGACATTACTCTCAAAAATTGGAAAATTTTCATCGTTCCCCGTAAATGGGGGAAATCTTCAAAAAAATTACAAATTTAGATAACACTAATTTTCAATTTTTTTTACATAAAACTGCCATAACTTTTTTTTAAATGATCAAATCAATAAAAACTTTTTATTTTATAAATACATGATGTCTTTATCTATCATTTGGTATATTTTTCCTATAAATCTGACCTGCCCACATGGGGATTCAAAATGACAACTTTTTCAACTTAACTTTTGAAAGTGTTTCAGACAACTTTTATATATATCTTAAATTAAAACTAATGTAATATACTTTATTATTGAAAAAAAATGTCAAACTTTATTTTGTCTTCATGGTGAAAATGGCTACCAAATGCTATTTTTGTGTGAAAATTCTTGATTTTGTATTTTAGTTTATTTTAAAATACTTTACAAAAGTTTTTGAGTTAGAAAAAATTTTTTAAATCATTTGATTATTATTTCATTTAAATTCAATAACTTAAATACTATTTTTTTATTCTCATAAAATTTTCTATCTAATATTGTAAATTTCAAACTTGAAGTTAAGCTAAAAGTTATGGTAACAAATTCAAATTTTTTTTATTATGAACTTTCAAAAAATCAACTTTAAAATACCAAAAAAATAGGTTAATAGTGATATTTTGCATTGATTATTTTTAAAATATTAAAATCAAAATGTGTAATAATTTTTTTTTATTTTTTTATTAGCTTTTATTATGAAAAATTATAGCTCAACAATTACATAAGAATTAGATATTATAGTATTAATTAGTCTTATGAATACTGGAGTAATTGGTGTTAATTAGTATAATAAAAGTAATGTATGTGCAATAAATTATAATATAAAGTTTTATAATAAAGTAGTTAAATAGTACAACCAGCGCTCAGTATAAAAGAAATGATGGCAGTAATCACGGAAATAGAATGGGAATTTAGTACAAGAGGGAACAAAATATATTTTCCATTGGATTCTAAAAATTTTATAAGCAGTCACCTATTAGATGCCAAGGAGGAGCAATTCAATAAATAGTGAGAAAAATCTCTGAGGACTTCATCCTCATGTAAATGGCAATAGGGAACAGAAATCAGGTTTAATTTGTAAGCCAATTCTGGTAAAAGGTTATGACTTAGTCTGAGTCGTGAAAAGCAAGAAATGATATTGAGATTAAGATCTAGTTGATGGAACCACGAAATTTTAGAAGGGCTAGGTACGATAGACCAATGCCATTGGGCAAAGCTGTTAGGGAGAGTAGACCACTTAGTGAGCCATGCTTCCATCAGGGTAGATCTAAAGTAATGCAGAGCATTAGAATAAGGAAGATGACAGGAAGGATAACATAGGAATGATGATGCGCATTTAGCCAAAGAATCTGAGAACTCATTACCGCGGATCCCGACATGGCTAGGGACCCAATGGAATTGAACCAGGGATAAAAATTTTGTAGAGTGCTCTAATTTAAAGGATTATAGGGGAAGTTTGAGAATCAAAAGGGTTAGAATTAATAGCCAGAAGACAAGCCTGTGAATCTGAGTAGATAAGAAAAGAGGTATCTAGAGAAACAGAAGTGTAGAGTGATGCATTAACAATATTAATGTATTCGGTAGTAATGGAGGAAGAAAGGGGATGCAGGTTGGTGGAAAAGGAGATATTAAGACTTGGTATGTAGTACGCACAGCCTGTTTTGGATAAAGAGGCACACCTATCAGTAAAACTTAGATGAGAGTTGGGATGGTTTGTAGAAATATATTGAGAGAATAAATTATTAATAATGGTCAAAGGAAGGGATTGAAGGTTATAAGGTGAGAAGCCTAGGAAATTAGTTAGAACATAAACAGTAGGGGTGATGATTAAGGCCTCGTAATGAGAGACGACTATAGGATTTCTGGATATGATAAGTGAGAGGAGAAAGTGAAGAACATATAGAAGCAAGTATAGGAAGAGATTTGGGGACATAACGCCAGAGTTGGCAAACAGTTTTAAAAAGATTTAATATTGAGGGTTTGGGACAGGAAATAGATTTTAGGAGAAATTTGCTCGCTAAGCGACGGCATCTAATTTCGATAGGAGGACAACAGCATTTAATTTCAAGGGTGGGAACAGGAGTAGAAGTAAGGGCACCTAAAATTGAGCGTAAACAAGAAGCCATTACTGAATTAAGCTTATTACGGTGACATAAGGATACAGAAGAGAAGAGAAAGGAACCGTAGTCAATCTTGACGCAAATAATAGAGTTAAAAATTAATAAAAGGGAAGAGGGGTGGGATCCCCAAGATGTCCTGGTAATACAATAGAGAAAATTAGACCAGCGCGATGCAAAGGAAATAAGGAACACATCTTAACTTAGTGTCCAAGTTAAGTCCTAAGTAAGTAACGGTATTAAAAGACTATCTAAACTTTAGATAGTCTTTTAATAGTCACTTATTGTCACTTTAGATTCTAAAGTGACAATGGGGATAGAGAGAGGAATATGTTTTCTGGTAAAAATGATAAATTGACTCTTTTCAGGAGCTGGGGTTAAGTAAGAAGAGAAGAGGTTTTGGAAGAGTATAGACAAGGAGTCGTATAGACACTCCATAGTACCTAAGCCTCTCCTAAAACTGAATAGGTTATTCGGGATGACATTATTTTTTTCCAAAAACCAATCTAGACGAATTTTTAATATGTCTTCTACTATTTTACAGAGTGACAAGGAGAGGGCAATAGGTCAAAAAGCAGGAGGGGAAGAATTAGGTTTGGGGATAAGAATGACGTGAAAATTTTTCCAGGAGGAAGGTACAAGGCAATTGGTCCATAAAGAGTTTAAGATTGTTAGGAGAGTGTCCATGCCTAATTGAGGAAGATTTAGTAGCAAAGGAGTGATACTGTCTAGGCCGGACGCTGAAGAGGAACGAGAATGAATGCTAAGGATATCTTTTTGGCAGTAAAGAGCGTAGTTAAAGGATGTGTGAAAAAATTGAATGAATTGGGAGCAGGAAAAGATAAGTGTGTTAATTCTTTGTGAGAAGGGACGTATGATGGCGCCACTTTATTACAAAATGAAGGAAACCAAGATTCATTTAAGGAAACTGGGCGACAATTAATACAGTTTTTAAATTTTTTTAAAGTAAACCTAAGCTTCTGAATAGATGTAGAGGAATTTAGGGAAGAACAAAATAAATGATAAGCATTTTTTTTTTTTTTTTGGTGCGAGCGGTAGAAGATTGTATACGTTGATAAGCAAGAAAGTCAGAAATAGAACCAGAGGATTTGTACTGACGGAAAAAAACGGAGCGTTCTTTAACAGCGGCCATACATGTAGAGCTCCACCAAATAGGGGAAGGAGGAAAATTTTTTTTGGAAGTTTTGAGAAAGGTATAAAGGCATTCGCGGCTTTTAGTAGAATAGAAAAAAGGGAATCAATCTGATAAGAGAGAAGCAGAAAGACAAATGTTGGACAAATAAGTAGCGATGTAGACAGAATATAAGCCCCAGTCAGCTTTGATGAAGTTGAATTTAAGTGGGAAAATGACGGGAGAGGGTCAACTGTGTGATTAGATAGGGTTGTTGTATAATGATAAGATTAAATGATAATATTGACACTTAATAATAATGATTGTCACTTAATTTAACCAAATGCATGGTCTTTACGTATCATAGAACAAAACATCCTATTGTGTTTCACTATAGTATTACTGCAGTAAATATCTTGCGTGAGTTAAACTCTATTACAGATCTAGACTTTATGTTTAGTTATAATCTTGATCCTATGTTTCATATTGATTATGTTTGCTGTAAAGCTTTTAAAGCGTTAGGTTTTATTATGCGTTTGGCCAAAGATTTCAAGCAAGGACTTTCACTTAAAGTGCTATTCTGTTCTATAGTCAGACCTATTCTAGAATATGGTAGTGTAGTGTGGGATCCTTATATTGCCTTGGGCTCGCTACAGCTTGAGCGAGTTCAGCGAAAGTTCTTACGCTTTGTCAGCTACTCGCTTAACATAGTCTGTCCAAACCATGATTATGCCCCTGTCTCGTATTTGCTTGGCCTATCCTCATTAGCTGCGCGTAGGCGCAATGCTGGAATTAATTTCCTAATTGGTTTATTGAATGGTAATATTGATTCGACGAGCCTGTTGTCCCTCATATGTTTCAGAGTACCTCAGCGCGCAACAAGAAATAATGCTCCATTTGTTGTCCCTCACTGCCTAACTAATTATGCAAAAAATGAGCCACTTAGACGTCTTATGACTAATGCCAATGTTGACCCTAACTTTTCATTTTAATTTTTGTATTTTTCTTTATGTTTTATAATTAAATTCATTTTCATTTTTTATTTTTATCTTTACGTTTAATAATTAATTTGCATATTTTTAGTATATATCTTTCTATGTTACAATAACCTAATTTATGTACTTGTATTATTTATAAAAAGGGCTTCTGCCCGTGAAATTATAAAATAAAATTTAAATTAAATAAAATAATAATAAGAAAGTGGTTGCTACTGTAAGTGCAGTCTAAGACGGCCTATGATAAAGACCAGGATAGAGAAGGAGACGTGATCGATATATCAACAGCTGTGTCTTCATAAGGAGGACGATTCACAAGAGTCGGAGAGCCATTGTTAATAATACTTAGACCAAATGAGGATATTGAAGAGAAATTTATACTACCTTGATGATTACTGTCAACGGATGCAGGATGTTGCCAATTGATACCTCCTAAAATGGAGTAAGGAGAAAATAGACTAATAATAGAATTGATGATAGCGAGAGGAAGGGGGAATATATAAGAACCAGAAAGAAATAGGTGAGCTAGAATTTGAAAAGGCGATAATACCAACCAAATCAATAGAATGATTACGTAAAGAGCAAATAAGATTATCATTGATAGTAATCTGAGTAATTTGTATAGACTGATGAGCTATAATGGTGACACTACTGTAACCATCGTGTCTATCGGCTCGTAATATATTGAAATGAAAATTAGCAGTTGGGTAATAGCCACGTTTCAGATATAAGGGCAAAGGAGCATTAATGAATAGATAAAATATAAGCAAGGTCGTTTGTAAGTTATTTAAATATTTAGTAATAATTTAATGTTATGATCAGTTTGGTATTTAAAGTTGCCATCCCTCTCTCTGGCAATGGACTAACCATCTGTCCTGGAGTATTAATGGTTAAGTAACTTCCTCCTCTGAAAAAGGCTGTTTTATGGCCCTTAATAAACTTAAAAAGCAATAAAAAAAAAAAAGAAATTTAATGTTATAGGTCCATCATCTACTCAACTTTACATGGTGAGAACTATGTTGGAATCATTGATAGCTGATAAATCTGGTGGTAAAAGAACATTACGTAAAGATATTGATGGTCAGTATTTAATGCAGATTGATCAATTTCATAAAACATCATTTTTTTGGAGTTATTTACTTGGATTTAGTCGTAAGTATACAAATTAACCTTGAAGAATATAATTAAATTAAATTTTGATTCATAATAAATGTATTATAAATATTTAGAATCCTTACAAGAATGTTGTGATTTATCACAACTATGGTATCGTGAATTTTATTTAGAAATGACTATGGCCAGAAGAATTCAAAAATGTACTGTCAAACATCAGCATAATGAAGAATGTAGTGATCTTATTACTATGGAAAAAAGAATTCAATTTCCTATTGAAATGTCAATGCCATGGATATTGACTGATCATATTTTAAAAACTAAAGAGCCCTCTATGATGGAATATGTTTTATATCCCCTTGATTTATATAACGATAGTGCACAATATGCATTGACTGTATTTCGAAAGCAATTTTTGTATGATGAAGTTGAAGCTGAAGTGAATTTATGTTTTGATCAATTTGTTTACAAGTTAAGTGAACAAATTTTTGCTCATTATAAACAATTAGCTTCCAGTATATTGTTGGATAAAAGATTCCGTGTAGAATGTGTTGCTATGGGAACTTATCTTGTGCTTTACCCTAGAGCAAATAGATATGAGACTTTGTTGAAACAACGGCATGTTCAATTATTAGGCCGAAGTGTTGATTTAAATAAATTAATTACTCAAAGAGTCAATGCAGATATGTTGAAATCTTTAGAATTGGCTATTGCTAAGTTTGAAGGTGGTGATATAACTGGTATTGTTGTAAGTTATTAATTTTAATTAAGTACTTATTACTAAAATATTAAATGTACTACATTTAATATATTTTAAAGGAATTAGAAGGTATTATGCAAGTTAATAGATTATGCCATAAATTGTTAAGTAAACATCTAGCTTTGGATGAGTTTGATGCTATGTTCCGTGAAGCTAATCATAATGTGTTGGCGCCTTATGGTCGTATTACCTTACATGTTTTCTGGGAGTTAAATTATGATTTTTTGCCAAACTATTGTTATAATGCTGCCACAAATCGTTTTGTAAAGTGTAAAGGTTTGAATTTCACACAAGATGTTCATAGAGACAAACCTCCACAAATGGGTCATCAATATTTATGGGGAAGTAAACAATTAAATCTTGCATACACTACTATTTTTGGACAATATAATGGTATTTCTTTAGATAAAATAAATGTTTGTAAATTAAGTTATAAATTATTTATTCTTTTAGGGTTTGTTGGAACCCCTCATTTTCGAACTATGTGTAAGATGCTAGGTTATCAAGGCATTGCAGTGGTAATGGAAGAGTTGTTAAAAATTGTAAAATCATTAATTCAAGGAAATCTTCTTCAATTTGCAAAGACATTAATGGAAGCCATGCCTAGACAATGCAAGTTACCTCGATATGATTATGGTTCACCTGGTGTATTAGGCTATTATCATGCTCAATTAAATGATATTGTTCAATATCCTGATGCCAAAACAGAATTATTTCATAATTTTCGAGAACTAGGTAATACAATTCTATTTTGCTTATTAATGGAACAAGCACTATCACAGGAAGAAGTTTGCGATCTCTTGCATGCTGCACCATTTCAGAATATTTTACCTAGGCCATTTACTAAAGAGGGAGAAAAAACTGAAAGCAAGCAAAAAAGATTAGAAGCAAAATATGCTGCTCTTCAAATAGTTCCTAACATTGAACGTTATGGAACTGCTAAGGTACCATTAGTATAATAATTTAATTAAAATTATAAAGTAAATTATATTATGGATTTAGCAAGTTGGAATAGCTCGTGATGGTGACTTATTAACACGTGAAAGGTTATGCTGTGGGCTATCTATATTTGAAGTAGTATTATCTAGATTGCGTGGTATGTTAGATGATCCTGTATGGGTTGGACCACCACCACAAAATGGTGTAATGAACATTGACGAGTGTACAGAGTTTCATAGGTTATGGTCAGCACTTCAGTTTGTATATTGCATACCAGTAGGTGAAACTGAATTTACTGTTGAGTAAGTATTGATATTTTATTTGTATTATTTGATTATTGCATTCAATTTTAGTTTCTTACATTAATTAAAGTAATGCATGTTAAATAAATTAACTTTGTATCTATAATTTTGTCAACAAAACAATTTTTTTAGGCAATTGTTTGGTGAAGGTTTACATTGGGCTGGCTGCACCATGATTGTACTTCTTGGACAACAAAGGCGATTTGAAGCTTTAGATTTTTGCTATCATATTTTACGAGTTCAAAGAGTAGATAGTAAAGACGATAATGTCAAAGGAATTGTAAGTGTTACTGTTTTATTTATAAATTTATCTTTTCTAAACTAAATAAATTTTTTGATATAGCATCTAAAACGTATGGTGGATAGAATACGTAGATTCCAGGTGTTAAATTCACAAATATTTGCAACTTTAAATAAATATTTAAAAGCAAATGAGACAGATGCAAGTGCAGTTGAACATGTTAGATGTTTTCCACCACCTATACATCCATCTCATCCATCATCTCATTATTATCGGCCTGATCAAGCTGGATCTCGTTAATATGACATAACATTAATTCAAAATTTATAATTCATAAATAATAATACATAATCATAACTATTTGATAACATTAAATTTTTTAGTTAATTCTATACATGTCATGTTTTTTTTATATACTAAAAATCCTATAATTTTTTTTTAAATAAACTTGAAAAAAAAATAAAATAGTTAACGTAAAAATAAATTATTTTTTAACTTATAAACTAAGATGTAAGATTATCATATATTTGGTATTAAACAAATAATTTATAGCTATTTTTAGGTTTATTTAATAAATATTTAAAGATATATATATTTTTTAATTACCTCACCTAAATACTATCTAGATAAATTTTGTTATGGAAAAACATCTCTATGAAAATTATTTTATCTACTACAGAAGACAATTATTTTTCACAATTTCTGCACATTTAAAATTTACCAGTAGGTTAAAAATACATAAAAAGTTTCATATTCTCTCTGAATCTACACTGGTGACTTTTAATAACAGAAATGACATCCAAAAATAACAAATGAATACAGCTGACATTAAGCAATCAATTAGAAAGTAATATTGACCTAATTAGCAGTGGTCGGAGTATTCCAACGAAGGTTATTTGGGTGCTCTTGTAGTCTAACTGATAGTTTTCAATTTATTAATATTAAAAATAATAACAACAATTAGAATCACATGACATTTTTTTTATTTAAAAGTCAATATTATGCTAAACCTGAAAAAAAATCTGTAACATTAACAGCATTTGATGATGGTAAATTGAAGTCTTTATTATTTACAGTTTTAAAATGTTTTTTAACATCAAATTCTTCAAAAAATTCTATATTCCAAAATTTAATAATATTGCTAAAAAAACATGAAGAAGCAAGAAGACACCCACTGTCAGATATATCCAATAGATCTACAGACATTTCTTGATGGTGTCCAACAATACCCAAATGACAATTTGGGAATAAATGAGTAGCCCTAGGAATAAAATGAATGCAAAGTAAAGTAATAATAACTAAAAATTAATAAAATAATTAATGATGTTACCTTATTTTTCCATTATCTAAAGCACTTATAACAATATTTTCAGTAACTGGTAATAATTTGTTTACAGCTGCACCTTTGTCAACACAAGGGAATTCATCATTGAACATAGAATAGTCACCAGTATTAAAAGTAATTAAAGATCCTTCTCCTGTACCACATACTATCTTTGTTTTTCTTTTCATTGTGACACAACTAGTTAAAGCTGATTTGTAAGGCTCTGACTAAAACATAAAATTAATAAATTTAAGAACCAGATTGCTACAATTTAATATCTAAATTATATTCAGTGTAATTTTCAAAAAGTGAAACCCCTTCGACATGTTAATTTTTCAAAATAATAACACTGGGTGCAAAATTTACAAATTTTTTTACGTACTTATTAAGCAATACATTAATGATTAAAAAATAAATCACACTATAGAAAATTTTATTACAAATAATTTGTAAGGTTTAATAATTTTTTTAATAAAAAATATTTAATGTAAATCAAAAATGCAAAAAAGTTACTGAAAAACTTGATATTAAATTATATTTTTATTTTAATTAAAAAAAATGAAAAAACTAATTATACTGTGTAAAATATTATTACACCATCGCTTCAGCAACAAAAACTACACAAAAATGAAAAATATTAATGTTTAATAATTTATAAATAGCATCAACTAAAAATGATTTATATAAAAAAAATAGTTTTCCCAATATTTGAGATAGTTTTACATATTTTCTACTGTTAATATTAATCTTAAAATGAATATAAAAATTATATTTTTGAAATCCTTAAAATATTTTTGATTTATGATTTGTAAAACCGTAATTAAAGTGAACAAAAAACAAAAATTGTGGTAAAAAGTTCAGCTATTGTTTGAACAATTTTTTATTCAACTTTAGGAGTCGTATAAACATTGACATATTGATTTCAAACAGCTCATTTTTATAAGCAAAAAAAAAAAATATAAGAAGAGTCTGATGTAAAATAAAAAAAAAAACCCATCATAAGGGGGTCGCGCCACAGTGGTGATGTTGCATAGTTGGATTAAGTATAATGATATCTGACAGTGATTAAAATCACTATAAAAAAAAAAACTCTTCGATGCAAATCTTTAGATAGTGTTTAATTTTAAAAAATTGGTGTATTATTCCAAAAGTTACATGATCTGCTAGTTCCTTATTAATATCTTGATTAAGATAATGTATGTCGAATGAAAAAGGGATTATTAAAAAATATTATTTCTCATAAAAAAATTGTGTTGATCCATACACTTTTCAATAAGTTATAGCATTATAAAGTAAAAATGTAAAAAATAAAATCGAGAATTTTCACACGAAAATAGCATTTGGTAGCAATTTTCACCACGAAGACAAGTCCAGAGGTCAAATTTTTTTTTTTCAAATTAAAGTATATTACATTAGCTTTAATTTAAGATATATATAAAAGTGTCAGACCTTCCGGAACATTTTAAAAGTAAATTTTTTGTGAAGAAGTTGTCATTTTAAATCCCCCCCTGTGGGCAGATAAAGGGTCAAATTTACAAAAAAATATACCAAATGATAGGTAAAGACATCAAGCATCTATAAAAAAAAATTATATTGATATGTTTATTTTTGAAAAAGTTACGGCAGTTTTTAGTAAAAAAAATTGAAAAAATTTCGAATATTAGCAATTTTTAAATTTGTAATTTTTTTAGAGGTGTCCCCCATTTACGGCGAAAGAGGGAAATTTTTTTAATTTTTAAGGGTAATGTCTTCGACTAGATACGATTTGTGATCTTTTGACGTATCGTTGAAAGAAATCCGTTCGGTGAGAGCTGAGAAAAAGTGGTAACAGACACAAAAAAAAAAAAAAAAATAATAAAATAAAAAAAAAACACATCATAGTAAAACCAATACCTTCTCAGCTTCGCATCAAAGCTAAAATTAATTTTAACGCACCCTAATATATAAAGTGTTCTAGCTTGTTTTGACTAATTCTATAACTTTTAATCTATCAAATATATTTTTTTTACTTTATTTTTTAAATAATTTTTAGTTTTGGTCTATGTTAAAAGATTATATTTTATTATTTGTCTCTAATAAAAATTTTTTTTATTATAATGCAAACTATTATATTGTTTTTTCATGGTTTTTCAGTTTTATTATAATAAAAAAATTTTTGTTCGATTAAAAATTTTAGAACAAGTACTTATTGAGTTAAAAAATTAAAAGAGTATGTAGTAAAAATAGGATTAACTTTTATTGATGGATGTGCTCTCAAATTTTTAAGATTTATTTTTTATAACTATTGATTGCAAAAAATTAGGCTACTTAATTTGAAAACGATAACTATACATTTTTTTTATATAATTGTTAGATATTACTTTACATAAATATAAATATTTTATAAACAATTATACTTGTATTATCATCTTTTTGGTTAACAGATCCATAACAGTTAATATTCCATCACCAGATGCACTAACAAGTTGATTGTCTAAAGAAATCATTGAATTTATACTATCTTCAGTTTTTTTAAATGAAAATCTACATCCATTTGTTCGAATGTCCCACACTAAAAACAAATTATAATGCAAATAAACAAAATATTCTAAATATCACTATTAACTCTACCATTAATTAAACCATCTTCATCTCCAGTTGCAAATGTATTATTATCAATAAGGCATAATGAAGTCACAAAACCTCTAAAATCAAAGAAAAATTGCAACATCAAATATTTAAAAATAATTGTCTTAATTTCTACCCTTCTCGGTGAGCTTTTTCAAAATAAACTTTCATTTTCCCAGTTTCTGTATCAGATACAGAAACATTATTATCTTTACAAACTGAATAAATGTAATCACCCGATTGATCGAATTCTAAAAGCATTACTTTTTTTAAGTGAACATTATCATTAGTTCTTAAAAAGTCATTTTTTTCATTGCTGTATTTATACCTATGAAACCCAAAAAATATTTTCAATACATATTTTATAATATATATATATATATATTAATTTATAAATTAATTATCATATATCAATACATTCAAAGACAATTTACTCACATAGAAATATCTCCATTTGAAAGACCAGTAGCAATAATATTAGTACATGGATGAAAAGATAATCCACCAATAAGAACATTACTTCCTACATTTAAATTAGGAGGATGGTTTCTATTTCTTTCGGAACTAGCAGCAATAAAAGCTGCGACTACATCATCTTCTTCATCATCATCTTCTATATTATCATAATCATTAGGAACTTGATTTTCATCCTCATCTACTGATGTATCTTCAACATCATTATCCATATTGTCTGTATCATCACTATCATTTGATAGAGACACATCATCATCACTATGTTCTGAAGGATCAAACTCAATATCTGACTGTTGTTCTTCAACGTAATCATGTTCGTTCATCCAGCTATTTAAACTGTCTGTAATTAAAATAATTATTTCAATAATAAAAAAATTTTGATAATGAAATAAATATTTAAAAATTACTCTAATATTTTACCTAAATTGGAGTCTGATGATGATTCAATATCTGAGGATTGATCAGTATCATTATTCATTTCGTTTCCTTGATCTACTTCATTATCTGATACGGGTAAATCATCAACAGGTTTTTGTATATCAGGTAGACACATTTCACCTTTAAATTAAAAATTTCTAATAAAGTAAATTATATTTATAGGACATAAATATTAAAAATAATAAAAAGAAAATATCATACATTAAAACTAAGATTAAATGTACAAATAATAATATCAAAAATGAAGTAAATTATAAAACATTAAAAAAAATTTGTTTATTAATAGCTAATTCTAGAAAAATTATTCAAATTTGTTTACACTCAAATCTACACACGAGGGTGATTATTTTGACCTATGATCACTTCATAGTGTAATCAATGCTACTGTGATGGCGCGCATAGAAAAGAAGTGCCGAGTTAATTTCGATTGATTACAAATGAATATTTTTTATTTACTATCTTCGGGATAGAGATAACAGGCAGCTAAATATTTAAAATTAATTAAATTAAATAGAAATATGAAACAATCCCTGATGGTCTAAAACTAAAAACATTTTGATGATCAAGAAAGTTTTAGCCTAATGGGATCTATAAAAGAGATAATTTAGAATTTAGCTTCAAATTAAAACTGCACTTTTTATTCAGAATGTGTATTCTCCAAGTTAAACGTGCAATAATTTTTTGATTATAATTTTAATATAACTTAAAACCATAACTGTTGATCAAACTATTCTTCAAATTTGAGTATTTTTCCTTAATAATCATGAACAAGCAAAATTTGTTTTATTCATAAAATTCTAAGTTAACCAGTGAAGTTTTTTTCTCATTAGTTATGCTACTTTCAATGAATTTTTCATATTAACTATACGAAAAAAAATACATTATATTTAATAATATACGTAAATGTTTTTGGAGTGACAGAATCTTGTTTAATTACAAAATTGAGTTGTAATTATGTATTTAATTTGAAGAATATTTACTTTTTAGATACTGTTGCGTTATAATATCGATAGATAGCGCTATTAAAGTGATGGTTAAAGTCTAGTGTTGATACTTTTAGCTTCGATGCGAAGCTGAGAAGGTATTAATTTTACTATGATGTGTTTTTTTATTTTTTTATTTTTTTTTTTTTTTTGTGTCTGTGAACGCTCAATCTCAGCTCTCGCTGGACCGATTTTGATGAACAATATGTCAAAAGATCACAAATCGTATCTAATCGAAGACATTACCCTCAAAAATTGAAAAAAATTCCCTCGTTCCCCGTAAACGGGGGAAATCCCCCAAAAAATTACAAATTTAAAAATCGCTAATTTTCGATATTTTTTCA